GAGGCAGGTACCTGGGTACGTGCCCCCTCCTCCCAAAAAATCCGCTCCGAATTGACCGGTACACGTCTTGGGAGGAAACAATAACGCTATGGTACGGGGGTTTTTGGTGTGCCCAGCACTACTCTAGAAGTACCCGTCACCCCAACCGTTTGGTCACGACAACGGCAGACAGAACAGACACAGGCCAGAGCAGGCGCGTTCCTTCCCTCCTGCTTCCCGGCCAGGGTGGGCTGCCCGCCGCCGCCTTCGCCTCCACCCCCCCCAGTCGTACCCTGGTCGTACCTACCCTCTACTGGACGGCACCTTCCCAATACCTTACCTGCGACCATACACTTTTCTCCAGCTGCCACAACCCTTTCCATCTCGCTCCCTCAAAGCCTCCCGCTGCAACCTGATCCTCGCCCGCCATACTCGACTGGCGACACGATTATTGCTGTCGCCAACAACCGCTACAACACACCAACCCCAAGGAGAACAGAACAACTGAACCTCTGTGCCTGTGCAGATTGCAATTGTGTTAGCGAATCCACCGGCGCGACTCGCTTCACGCCTGTTATCTTGTCTCGAACCCGCTACCGTACCCATATCTGGAGCGAGCGCAGGAACGCTGTGGCGAGAGCTTCACAAGCCACACATACATCCCGTCGCGTCTCCGTCTCCCAACCTCATGACTCGTTGAGCATCGCCATTATCCCAGAGAGAGATAGCTTGTCGCGCGCCAGACGTACCATTGAACACTCGTCCCGTCTGACTTAATTACTGTCCAAGTCGAATGCCGCTCCCCCCGCTCATGGCCTCGGAAAAGGGTTCTCTCGCGACCGAAGACACTTCAGCGACGGCGACGGTCCTCCCCAAGCCGGACCAGACCGCGTCTTCCCTCTTCGCCCTCCAGGAACCCCAGCGGAGCAAGTCTCTGAAGAGAACACGCGAGACCACTCCGACTTCTCCTACCTCCCTTGTCGCTGGCGACCAGCCGATCATCACCGGATCCCCGACCAAGTCGGCACGCCTCGGCCTGCTCAATCGACGCTCGCCTGTCCCGCCTCTGACCGGCGCCGCCGCCCTCGAAGACCAGCGACGTCAACGCGAAGAAGAGGACGCCCGCGCGGATCCGCCTGGCTCGAGCGAGAACCCCAGCCAACGCATCCTGTCGGCGCTCGCTGGAGACGCCGCATCCGTCATGAGCCGGGCGAGCGACGCGCCGCAGGCACCTACGGCGTCCATGGACGTGCCACCGCCCAAAGCGCCGCCCAGCGTCTCCATACCTTTGATCAACCATGCCGCCACAGATACGGCCGAGGCCAGCCCGCAGAGCGCGACGAGCGCTGCCAGCATAGGAGGCACCTTGGTCACCGCGAGCCCAGGTCCTATGGAAGTCGACCCCAGTGCCAACGAGCAGGCGACGCCGGCGCATCACTCCCACGCCCCGGACGACAAGAACACGCCCGGGTCGCTGTCATATCCCGGATCGCTGCACGCCAGCATGATGTCGGCACCACCAGCCCGCGGCATGAGCTTCCCCATGCCGTCACCCGGGCAGGACTCGCCCGGGCAGCCCGGCGGGAAGAAGCACAAGTGCCCGTACTGCGAAACCGAATTCACGCGTCACCACAACCTGAAGAGCCACCTTCTGACACATAGCCAAGAGAAGCCTTTCATCTGCCAGCAATGTGATTCTCGCTTCCGTCGCCTGCACGATCTCAAGCGCCACAGCAAGCTTCACACGGGCGAGAAGCCTCACATCTGCCCCAAGTGCAACCGCAAGTTTGCGCGCGGCGATGCTCTCGCGCGACACAGCAAGGGCGCTGGCGGTTGCGCCGGCAGGCGATCGAGCATGGGTAGTTTTGGTGCCGATGTGGATGGCCTCGATGATTCCGGCATGCACGACGACTCCATGACCGGGGTATCGTACGGCAACGACGAGGGAATGACGGAGGAGGAGAGAAGACATTTGAGCCTTCCAAGCATCAAAGCTTCTCATGTTCCTGGTGGGCAATCTTCTATCGATGGCTTTGGGCCGCATTCACGGACTTACCCCCCGGCAGGCTCACTCGAGAGACCATCTGGGGGTCTCTACCCCCCGCCTCCGCCGCAGGACAGGGGCGCATCTGGATCGAATACATCTCCCAGCATGGGCAACAGCATGGGCGGCGGCCATACCCCGAACACGAGTCTATCCTCCATGCCCACTAGCGGCGCAGGCTCCTCCATGTATTCTCAGGGCGGAACCATGACGGAGAGCCCCAAGCCCTTAAGCCCTGGCGCGGCGCACGACGGCACCGGCCTGAGCAGACAGCGATCGCCGAGTCTCACGCAACAGTTTCAACAGCAGCATTTTGGGCGCAGACCGTCCGACCGTCACACCCCTCCAGGTTTGTCTCGCGCCGTAATATACCCACTGATGAGTCAAGTGCAGTTTTGCTTACGAGTCACGCAGGCTTCGCCTCAAACAGCGCGCCATCAGCCAACGGCCCTCCAGCCCGCGCATCAGGGAGTTCGCACGGCGGCGGCGGCGCGGAGAACGGCGGCAACATGTTTGCCACGGACCCCGGTGTCTGGACGTATATCCAGACACTGGAGACCCAGGTCAAGCAGCTGTCGGAAAATGTGGCGGCCATGCAAAAGGCGGACAGCGCCAAACAGGCCCAGATCGGGCTGCTCACCACCGAGATGACGGCCCTCAAGAAGCAGCTCCAGGCTCAAGAATCTGAGGCGGCGGCCAAACAAGCGCAGATCGGGCTCCTGACAGCAGAAGTGACAGAATTCCGGAAACAGCTCCAAGGCCGCGAGACGGAGGCCCTCACGCCCAAGGCATGAATGATGCGTCAAGTCCAATTGGTGCAAGCACATGAAGCAACGAAAAGTGCACACCTCCCAACTATGTAACAACGACGGCATGCAGCATCAAGGAAGGAGGACGGCAATGGTTGGCACGCGCCGGCAGGGCGACGACGTGCAGGCGTTTATTTCTCTCGTTACATGCATCCTCATTCCTAATCGCTCGTTTTTTTTTCTCAATTTTTTCTTATTTTTCATTCCTGTCATTCGGGATCATCTGTTTATCTCCACATCACTCACAGATATCCTCTTCTCGACCGCATCAGACGCTTTCTCGTTTCTTCTTACATTCGGGCAAGGCGTTTTTACAAAGGGACCGAGGGAGCGGGAAGGAATCCGTCTGGGGTTCAAGAAAAGGGCGACTTGTTGCGGCTTCACGGGCAAAAAGTTTCGAAATTTTTGGACGGAGGGGTTCGTTGAGGACATCGCGGGGTGAATTGACACTGTGGGAAGTCTCTCGTGGTGTTGTTGTTGTTGCTGTTAGAGCTGGATTATGTCTCGCGTTTTTCCTACCTGTCTGGTGCTTTGAAACGAGATGGCGCTGCCTTGTCACGGCGATGGACAGAGACGGAAGACGGTTCAGAGCAGGTTTCCTTTCCATTTCTGTGTGTTTGTATCATATCTACCTCGATCACGTTCACTGCAAAGAGAGGGGGAGAGATCTTTGCCTCGGGGTAGCACAGCACCTACGGGGTCTTTTCGCAAGGGACTGAAGCAGCGGCACAAATAAACGACACACTCAACAAGTTTGTTGTCCCAAGAAGGGAAGCCATGCGGCCTGACATGGTGGTCGGGTAGCTACGTATTTTGGCAGGCCACTGTGCCCAGCTCGCGGTTGAGTCGGCTGACGGCGAATATGTTCCACCTTGATGAGCATGAAGAAGATACGGACATGCACTCGCAGACGGGTCAAGCACACAAATGTGACTCATGCTCCCGACATCGTGATGAGGGTCTTGTTCTTTGAAGTTTTTTTCCCTTGCTCTCCATTTCGTGCGACCACTTATCCGGCCGTCTGTCTGCCGGGGGAGGGGGGATACACAGCAAGGTGAAGTTAGGTGGCAACACGTGGTGCTGCATATAGGGATCCAGCCAGCGTGTGTGGTGCCAGTCGCACGACCCTGTCTCGTCCGTCGTCGATGGTCCTATCGGCAGGCCATACCAAGCTGCAGGCGAGCGGGATCGTGAGTGGACAGGCGCAGCGGGTGCTCATGCCGGGTGTGCCTCCGAGAAGGACTCCTCAGTTGGGCGCCAGGATGTGGGAACAACTGAGACGGAGAGACAGGACAGAGAGGGGGGTGGGACACATCGGTCGGGTCGGCCGGCTGGCCACCTCAGCGCGCGCGACGTGCATGATCACAGGCTTCGGGGCAATGAGCGAAATGGCAGAGATGGGGAGAGTACCTAACTAAGGTAGGCAGGTTGAATGCGCTGGCGGCGGTCAGGGTGCGTGCGCTTGAGTGGACGACGACGGGCTGGATGGACAAGAGTGGCGACGACGCTAGGGGCAAGGTGAAGCGTGAGAATGGGTGGAGACTCGAGTCCTCGTCCCCGTCCCCAGCCACCGCCAATTCATCGAAGCCGGGAGGGAGGCCACTCGCCTCCCCCTAGGAGAGGTACCTAGCGACGGCCTGTCCCGCTCGCTGGACCATCGACTATCCGACCTCTCTCGCTCTCTTTGTCTTTGTGTCTTTGTGTTGACTGTCAACCACCTGAGGGAGGCATCAATGAGGTACCCAAGCTAGGTACTTTAAGCTAAGATAGGTACAAAAGGTACCTAAGGTAGTAGGTACCTTAACTTAACCACCTCAAGTATGTAAATGCGTATGGTAGGAACCCTTACAGAGCACCTGCCAGTACCTAGTCATAAAAAAGGACCTTGTTGGAGAGTTCCTGCCAGTAGATCATCAGCACAGCAAAGCAGGAAAGTACAGCTGATCTCAAGGCGCACCTAACTGGGGTCCAATGTCGCTTGTGCCTGCTCGTGCAGCAAAGAAGCGCCCACACAGCGTGGCCCACCCCCCTAGACTCTGGTCCGGCCTGAGCAGTCAGAAGGAAGTAAGGCACCTACCACCTGCCTTACACCGAACCGAGTAAGGTAGAGAGGTAGTCGAGGTGCCATTTCTCCAAACAAAACAACACCCTCCCACCGCCACATCGCAAACCACCAAACATCATCACAGAGTGTGATTGATTACCACCCCCCTCTCTTTCAGGGAGTGTGTCTGTATCCCGATAGCGACGCGACATTTTATTTGCACGATTCCCTCTATTTCTGTCGCATCCACTCGGGAAGAAAGAAAGAACAATACGCGAACAGACCAACACACACCAATGCTCGACAGCTACCCGCCACCGCTGTCACCATGATGCGAGATTCTCGTCGGCGGAGCCCGACCGAGAGCTCCCGGCGACGGAGAAAAGAGCGTCGCAACTCGCGCGACAAGATCGAACTCGTCTCCGCCCCTAGCGCCAGCGAGAGCGCGACCCGAAGCATGGAGATGCCAGGGCCCATGCCCGGTAGCATGCCAGAGGACCCCACGCCCCGGGTGACCGAGACATCGCGCGTTCCGCCCGAGACGTCGTCTTCGCGATCCTACCCACAGCCGCCGTCGCAGTCGCAGTACCAGTACAACTACCAGTATCACGACCAGGCCCAGACACCGCAACCTCAGTACCAGTCTGCCTACCAACAGCCGCTGCCGCAACAGTCTCCGTACCAACAACAACAACAACAACTCCCACAGACGTACCAGCCCCAGCAGTCGTCGTTCCAGCAATACCCCCAGCAGTACCAGCAGCAGTATCCGCAAAATCAGTATTCCCAACATCACCAGTCGCCTTCTCAATACCCCGCACACCCACAAGCGCCTTACTATGGCGAACCCGTGCATTCGTATCCCAATGGACGTGCCCGGAACTCGGACAGCTCCTCCGACACATCGTCCTCGCTGCTCAACGTCTCACGCCGGAGCCCAAAGTACGCCAAGGCAGGCAACGTCTTCACCTCATTCTTCCGCAGCCCTTCCGAGCAGCGCCACCGCCGTCGTCAGAAGAAGAAGAACACGCGCTTCATGTCCTTTGGCGCCAACTCGTCGTCCTCCTCTCTCGACTCGGACCTCGCCTATGGACGTGGATACATCCCTCGCGAGGGCGGCAGCCTGGCGAGCGGCAGCCGTCGTGTGAGCCCTGGCCCAAACGGAAAGGCAAGCCAGTATAGCCAGGGCGCCCGTCGGACACCCACCGCCGAGCTGCACCGTCCTCCTCTCTCTGTCCGTGGTGGCAAAGCTGAACAGGCCAAGACAGATGAGGAGATTCTCGCCATCGGTCGCCAGCTCTCTGATATTGCGCGCAAGCAGAACGAGGCGGATCTACGTGCTTCCGGCAAGGTGCGCCCTTCTACGCTGGTCGGCGCCGCCGCAGCTCTGAGTGCTTTCAGTCGTTCGAGGACCAAGGATGGTTCTAAACGGGGCATCGGCAGCTCCCGGCCTGGGCGGGACGACGAAGACTCTGACTGGGAGTCTGCGTCTGACGACGATGACTCCTCGTCTAGCGACGATGTCGACCCTGGACTCGTCTACGGCTCGACCGCCAACCTGCCTAGCTCACTGGGGGCACCAACCAGTCAGGCAGCGCATGATGGGAACCGGAACCATGCTGTGGACCCTAGCCTTTTTGGACCCTACAACTCCCTCCGGGGCTCAGTGACGCCGATCCCCTTTGCGCAGCCCTCTCATGCCTACAGCTCTCCGCGCCACCAGTCTGAGGAGCCAAAGGCCAATACCCCTTCGTCATCGTCAAGGATCGGCAAGCAGCCCATGCAGCATGTCTATGCTATCCCCACCTCGGATCCGAACAACTTCGATGTTGACCGCGGATCGATCATCTCCTCTCGGCACACGGCATCTCAGTCCTCACGCCCCCCTCCCGTGCCGCTACAGCAGCCCATCCCCGTGGCCCCCGTCTCGTCCAAAGTCTATGCAACCGAGAAGCTCGCGGACGAGGACCGCCGCAGGGAACTCCGCGGCGAACGTAGGCACACCGACGGTGGCAGCCTCGCCGGTGTCGCCGTTGCTGGCGTTGCGGCTGCGGCTATAGGCGCAGCAGTGGCCTCGAGCCGGAAGGACTCTCGCGATGTTCGTGACAGTCGCGACACCCGAGACCCTCGTGACCCTCGCGATCCTCGAGAGTCGCGTGACTCTCGGGGCACCCGCGACTCGCGCGACTACCGTGATTATCCGCGTGAAGATCGGCATCAAGAGCGTCGCTTAGGCCGGAACGACTACCCGGAAAAGACAGAGCGTGACGATTACGCTCGCGCCGATAAGGACAGACGTCGCCGTTCCCACCGGGACAGTAATGTCAAGGTAATTGACGAGCGGGACCAGACGTCTTCTCGACGGGAAAAGGATCCTTCCTACGACTCACAGCTCGCGAGAAGACACACTGCCCCCGTTGACCAACGTGACAAATCCTATAAGCTGCCCAAAGGAGACGAAATCAGGGTTGAACTTGATCAAGAGAAAGACCGTCGTTACCAGGACGAGCTTCGTCGAGCTCGGCGGGAAGAGCCTCCGGCTACCACCAAGGAGGAGCGACACAGGTCGAGACCTGAGCAACAACCGGTAGAACTGCCCCCAGAGAACGAACGAACTGCCTTGACCGAAACCCCCGCCTCACGAGCTCCTATTGACCCTTTCCAGTTTCAGGTTGCCGACGATGCCTTCGCGACGCCCAAGCACGCGACACCCACCAGGCCTTTGACACCCCAGGTCTTTACCATTGACCGCGAACCCGATTTTGGTGACTCCAAACCCCGGAGCGGTCCGTCCGAGGACGCGAGGCTGAGCCGAAAGGACTCGTTCGAGATTGAGCAGCGCATGGAGCTCAATCGCAAGGGATCTCGCTCTCGATCCAGGACTCCGGAACCCCGACCCCGCCACGCCTACGAAGAAGAGGAGCATGCCGCTAGGTCCATTTACGAGGAGGCCAAGCATGCAACGGCGCCTGTTGCCGTTGCCGCTCTTGCCTCGGCCATCGCCATCGAGCAGCAGCGCTCCCGCGAGCGACATCGTGACGATTACGACGATGACGGATCGCGCCGGCGGACCAGGGCTGACCGAGATGTCGTTCAGGAGGAGGCCGACCGCTACTACCGCGAATCTGTCATAGCCCGCAAGATTGCCGAAGATGACCTTCGATCGCGCAGCGCATCCCCCCACGACAAGTCCATCGTCGACAAGTGGCAGGAAGACAAAGAGCCAGCTACTAAGGAGATCGCCATCGTCACGCCGCCCGAGATGGATCACCCTCACGACAAGAGCCCTTACGACGCCCCAAATGCCGATGTCCGCATCGACCATGTCATCAAACCCAATGAGCTTTCAAGGTTCCGCGTGCCAGCTGACGAACTGTACGTCGACACGGCAACTGTCTGGAAGTCCCGCGATCCGTCTTGCGAGCGGGATCGTCCATTGCTCAACCTCGTTCTCCCCACACCTCATGTCACGCCAAGCCCCACTCCGAATCCCGAGACGCAGAGTAGGGCCGCCCCGAGAGAGGCTGCAAAGCAGCAAAGCCAGTCCACCGAGCCAAGGTCTGCGCCACCAGATATCATCATCGGACCTCGTGGAGAGATCATCCAGACACCATCTACTCCAAAGTCGGTCACCTGGGGTGAGAATGAAACCAAACGCTTCGAGGTTGAGAGTCCTGAGCCGCCTGAGAAGAAAGGAGGTTCCCGCATCAGCACCACCACTGGCTGGGGCGTTGTTGCCGCCGCTGTCGCCGGCAGCGTGGCAGCGAGTTCCGACGACAAGCCCTCAAGGAACGGCGAAGACAGAGGCCGCGGCTGCGATGACTCGTCTCGATCACGAACGTACGAGGCTGTCGATGCGCGACCTTCCTGGGATGATACCGATGCCCCTCCCATCCCTGGACCGAAGCCCCGCAGCCCCAGTCCTAGCGGGCGTAATCCGACTATGCCGGGTGGCTTTGGCGACGATGCGGAATTCACCAGCATCATGGCTGCTGGTCTTCAAGACTCTGGATTTGACCCAAAGATTGTCACTCAGAACCCCGCCTACAGCAGGAAGAGCTGGGATGATTCGTCCAAGCCGAGGTCCGACGTCGGGACCAAGGGCCAATCCTCTTGGGACGACAAGGACGCTTCCTGGGTCTCTGAGACGAAGAAGACGCGTAGTTCTAGTGCTGGTCCGCGACGCGCTCGTCCTTCTGGTGGCTATGGCGACGATGTCGAATTTGCGTCAGTCTTGGCCGCTGGGCTGCAAGACACCGGCTTTGACCCGAACATCGTCATCGACGACCCCACCTACCGCAGGCGGGACAGCCCTCCCGGCTCCAACGAGCCCGGTTTGTATCACAGGCCCTACGCGGAAACCGTGTCCGATCTCGGGGTCGTGGCTGACGCGATCCCCTGCGGCCCGCTCCCTGAGTCTGGCATCGTCCTGGGTGAACTCACCGAGACCCCTGTCCAGGAGACCGCTCCAGCTGTTGACGGTTGGGATACTCCTTCGAAGCTGTCGAAAAAGGACAAGAAGAAGCGTGACAAGGCTTCCAAGCGACAGAGCACGGACACTTTCGACGAGCCTCTTCCTGCATCCGAGCCAGCACCCGCTGATGACCTTTCGCGTGACATCGTTCCCGAATCCATCTCTGAGCCTGTCGCAGAACAGGAGGACTTGTCCAAGCTCAGCAAGAAAGAACGGAAGAAGCGCGAAAAGGCCCTGGCTAAGGAAGTTGTCATTGTCCAGGATGACGTCCCCTCGCCAGCTCCCGAGACCGACCTGCCGGCCACCCAGCCTGCAGACGTGGCCGCTGAAGACGAGTGGGCTGCGCCGTCATCGTCATCCAAGAAGAAGAAAAAGAAGGGAAAGAAGTCTACGGATACACCAGACGAGACGGAGGACCAGCGCGTGGCTGTCCCTGTTGACGCCTTTCAGGACTTGCAATCAACTACGCGCGAGGCCGAGCCCGTGCTGGACGAGTTTGATACACCCAAGAAGTCCAAGAAGAAGTCGAAGCGGGATTCCCTCATCTATGACTCACCTTCCGGGGCAGTCTCTGAGGTCTCTGTCGGTGGCACTCGGACCAAGAAGTACCACAAGCGCGACTCTACGGTCTACGACTCGCCGTCGGCCGCCGTGTCCGAAGTTTCCGTCGGTGGGACACGCAGCAAGCGATCTTCCAAGCAGAACTCGCTCTACGACTCTCCCTCTGCCGCGGTCTCTGAGGTTTCCATCGGAGGTACCAGGAGCAAGAAGGACAAGCGCAAGAGCGTAGACTATTCTCTCGCGGATGATTATGCGGACGACAAGCCAGGCGACCCGCCAGATTCAGGCGGCCGTTCATTCATAGACGATCGCGACGTCACCTCTGTCGTATCTGACCCAGCCTCCAAGTACGATCGCCACGAACGGCGATCCAACGGGACCCGGTACGACGATGGCGATGATACAAGGTCGATTGCTTCATTCGCGTCAGCGCCCGACGGCCGTAAACGGAGCAGCAAAGACGGCAAGCGCAAGGAGCCCGAGAAGAAGAGCAGCGGCTTCTTCGGCCTCTTCAACCGCAGCAGCACAGAGGTGAATAAGAAATCTGACAGTCGTAAAGACGAGCAGTCTTTTTTAGATAATGCCGGCACCCTTGGCGCGGGTGTCGGCTTGGCGGGCGCGGCGGCCTATGTCGCGTCCCGCCGGAATGCTGCCGGTGCTTTCTCTTCGGAGGACGTTGATCCCAAAGACCGACCGACCGGGTCTACATCCAGAGATGTTGACTATGTGGATCCCGAGATTGTTCACCGGACCATCAAGCCTGCTATCGATCCCCAGTACGGCGATCTGCTACCTCTGCCACCGAGCGAGCCCGGCTCGCCCAGGAAGGATGAGTCTGATGAAGAGCTCCCTGCGCTGCCAGAAAGCCGACCGGAGACGCCTCCCGAAGAGCGCAATAAGTTGCGTCAAAAGCCGTCGCACACCCGCAGGAGGAGCGCTGTGGACGCGCCCAGCAAGAGCCCCAGTCGCACCGCCATCCCTATCCAATTGCGAATGGGCCAGCGGTCCAATCCGTCTTCTCCGGCATACCACAAGTCATCGCCCGTAGCCTCTCCCATTGCGACGCCCGTGCCTGAGCCTACTACACCCAGGAGACCAACTTCGTGGGACAACAGCCGTGAGATCAAGCCACTCTATCTTCTTGAGCATGCGCGCCAGGGCCAGATGGACCCTGATGTCGACCTACCCGAGCTGCCGCCCAGCGAGGCATCGTCGCGCGAATCACCCTCGCCGTTCGCCCAAACCGATGATGATCTCGCCGCGTGGGACGTGTTGTATCCCGAGGAGCATGGCCTGCGACTCGACACTGATATTCCCGAAGCTTTGCCTAAGGACCGCGCAGGATCACAGGAGTCAACTCCCAAAGCTACAAGGCGCGGGCTCGATGCCGAGACCATCTATCCTTTGGCTCTCGATGATGCGCCCCTCCCTTCTTCGCAAGCAAAATCTCTTGACTCAATGGTCTCTCAGGATGATCTCATCGACCTTCCCCCTCTACCCAGCAACCCTAGCGGTCCGGATTCCGAACAGGAACCAGGCCCTGTCGAGCCAATGTCGAAAGACCGGAGCTCGTATCTCCTTCACTCGACGCCCCCGTCTCTCCGCGACATTGCTGAGCGGGACTGGTCGAGGATGTCTCCTGACCAGTCACCGAGCCGAGATGCCGCGGTGGGCCTTCAGGACGGTGAGAAGAAGAGGAGTTCTGGTCTCTGGGGTGCGGCTGCTGGCGTTGCCGCCGGCGGACTTGCCGCGCTGGGGCTTTTCGGTTCTTCTGACAAGAAGGGTGAAACCCCTGCGACAGAGGACGATAGGAAGGACGAGACGGCCGAAGTCCAGGACGAGTGGGCCTCGACTCCGTCAAAGAAGAAGAAGGGCAAGAAGGGCAAGAAAGCAAAGGAGGAGATCGCTGAAGATGTGTCCACGCCTGTTCCTGAGGACCTTCCCACACCAGTCCCGGAGGTCCTTTCTGCTCCTGTCTCTGAGCCGGACACCGTCCCCGCGCAGTCTGCCGATGACGTCGCTGAGACTAAGGCCTCGAAGAAATCGAAGAAGAAGGGGAAGAAGAACGCATCCTCGGAACCCGAACCCGAAAGCGCGGCTCCTCTTGAGATCGTAGAGGAGACCCCCCGTGCTGTTCCGGAAGAGCTGCCCAATTCTGAACCTCTTGTGGAAGACGTGGTTGCGATCGACCCGTCGGACGCAATTCCCGAGGCTGCCGCTCCGGCCACAGAAGACGTCCTCGACGAGCCCAAGTCTGCCAAGAAGAAGAAGAAGAAGGGCAAGAAGTCGCAAGCGCTTGACTCTGAGCTCCAAACGCCGACAGAAGTCGTGGATGAGAGTGCGAGAGCCATCTTGCACGACACCCCTGCAGCAGAGATCCCCGCCGCTGAGACGATTTCTGCTGAACCTCCTCTTGGAAACGCTGCCGTTGCCGAAGTTACGCCCGAAGCCGCCATCACTGAAGCCATCATCCCAGTTGTCGAGGAACTTGTCGAAGAGCCAAAATCTTCCAAGAAGAGCAAGAAAAAGTCGAAGAAGGCGCAGACACCAGAGCCGGAGCCCATTGTCGAAACCGCAGTGGTTGATGACGCTCCCGAGCCGACTCCAGATGAATCCCTCGCTGCTGATCCTCTTGCTGCCAACGTCATTCGCGACGCGGCCCCTCAGACTGCCGACGACACATTGGAAGAACCCAAGTCCGCCAAGAAGGGTAAGAAGAAGGGCAAAAAGACGCACGGCTTGGAGCCTGAGTCAGAACAGCCCTTCGAAGACAACACCAAAGCCATCTCCGATGAGACCCCACTTGATGAATTTGTTGAGCCTACGGCTCAGCCTGTTCTCGAGACGCAGCCTGAGCCAATGTCTACTGCGGAGATTGCACCTGATACTTTTGCTCCGCCGCCTGGGGACAGCTTCGAGGAGCCAAAGTCCACAAAGAAGAGCAAGAAGAAGGGCAAGAAATCACAGTCCTCGTCATGGGATGTTGATGAGCCGCAAGTCGCGGCCGCGGAGGAGACTTCCAAGGCTTTGCCCGACGAGCCCCTCGCCGAAATTGTCGAGACACCCGACGAGCCAACTACCCCAGCGCCAGAAGACGCCCCCGAGGAATCGAAGTCTTCCAAGAAGAGCAAGAAGAAAGGCAAAAAGGACCTATCGCTGGATGCTGACTTACCTGTTGAGCCGGTGGCGGATATTCCACAAGTCTCTTCCCAATATGTTATTGCTGCTGAGCCTTCCACTGGCGATGCCTTGACCGAGCCATCTACACCCTTGGCTGGCGATGCCCTCGACGACGAGACCAAGTCATCCAAGAAAAGCAAAAAGAAGGGCAAGAAAATGCCCGCTTGGGATGATGACTGGGCTGCCGACGCAGGGGAACAGAGTACCGATCAAGCACCTGCGGAGGAGGTTTCTGCCGAGGCACCCATTGCCACCGGTGTTGAACCCGAACTTCCTTCTGTTGAGGCTTTCGAAGACGCCCCCGCTCCGGCGAAGCTGTCAAAGAAGGACAAGAAAAAGGCTAAGAAGAACCAAGGTGCAGATCTCGACTGGGCGGAAGCAACAGACGACTCTATTGTCAAAGCCGAGGAACCCGTGGTTGAGGATTCGATCACCGCGGCTGCCTTGCCCGAGGTGTCTGTTGCTGAGCCCATAGGGGAGCTCCCTGAACCTGCGAAGCTGTCTAAGAAGGACAAGAAGAAGGCCAAGAAGAACCAATCTTGGGAATCTGACTGGACAACGGACACGCCACAGGAGAGCACTGCGACGGCAGCCGATGTTGAAGCTCCCGTGGCGCAGGTTGAGGGAGAGACCCTCGACCTTGGGTTTGAGACTCCACTTGACAGCACGACCGCATTCGACGAGCCAGACGCTGGCTCGAAGAAGGGCAAGAAGAAGAAGAAGGGGAAGAAGGCAACCTCTCTGGATGAGGAGGCCACTCCGACAGTCACTACCGAGCCCATTCCTGAGGCCTTCCTCGCGGACGAGCCCGCCATCCAAATCCAAGGCGACAATGTTTCTACCGGCTCGATCACCCCCACGGGCCTCTCTGCATCGTACAAGCAAGACGAGGCGATGCTAGCTTGGGAGGATGCCCTCGACGACCACTCTGCCATCAAATCGCCGCCCCAAGCCGCCCAAGGCCTCGGCAATGAGCTACGACAAGCCGACGATCCTGCCCCCGACGACGCTTCCGACATTTTCTTTGACGCCGAGGACGAAGCGAGAGCGCTGTCCAGAGCTGCGACACCCGCCAACGCCGACTTCAATGTCCAGGCCATATTGAACGAGACGACACCGGAGGCCAAGCCGCCTGCTCCGGACCCATGGGCCGACGAAACATTTTTTCTACCCCCAAAGAAGAGCAAGATCAAGGGTAAGAAAAAGACGTCCCTCCGCGAGGCCGCCCCCCCAGCCGAGGCCGAGCCGAGTGCTTCCACCGAAGCGCCGCCTGTTGAAGACCCCCCTTTGGCCGCCTTTGGTAGCCAGCCACTGCCAGAGAGCCAGGCTGATGCGGATGCGCTTCAACAGAACCCTCGTTTTACGGATGAGCCCCAACTTGGAGACGTGCCCGTTGCCACGGATGAAACGACCAACGAAGGACAATGGGGCTCCACGGCGAACACGAAGCAGAGCAAGAAGCAAAAGAAAAAGGGCAAGAAGGGATCTGTTTCGGAGCTGGGCCAGGGCAACAACCAAGACGACGCCTCGCGGGATCTTGCATCTTCTATCACTATGGGCGGGGACGACAGCCCGCTTCCTGTACCTGAGTCACCAGTTGACCATGTTGAATTGACACCTACGGTTTCTACTGCAGACAAGACCAAGAAGAACAAGAAAAAGGCGCGCAAGTCGGTCACTTTTGACCTGGACACGAACAAGACTTCTGATGCCGTCGGGCCGGTCGTGACAGGCGACCAAGATGGCCAGGATCAGGACATGCTGTCCTCCAGCGGCGGCGGCGGCGGCGACGACGACAATGTCAGCTCGGCCCCGGCCGTTGGCGGAATTAGTGGCATCGCCGAGGCGACCCTCCCCGAGACTAGTACCGAGTGGTCCGCGGGCGTGGGCGCCGATTCTGGCTCAGCCGATAACGGCGGTGAACATGAGCGACAGCAGCGCGAGGTTTTGCCCCTGCACGCAATAACAGATGCAACAGGTGCAGCAGATGCAGCGACAGCAACAGCGCCTGAAGCAGCTGCTGCTGACGAGGCCACCTCAGGCGGTGAGGCTGGCGCAGCGGGTAAAGAGCTCAGCTCCACGGACCAGGCCGCAGCCACTGAAAGGGCGGCGGACCTGGCGGGAGATCTGGCCCCGTCCCGCCCCTTCGCAGACGACAATTGTCTTCTTCATGCAGATGACGCGCTGCTGTCCGGGGAGGCAAGTGGCCCAACCTCCAATGACGACAAATCAACAGGGGACACGCGAGGCACGGATGCCCAAACGGTGGATCCAGCCCTCACCGACTCGACCCTGGAGGTTGGTGCCCCACAGGAGCTCCCGGGGCCGGTCTTGGCGCTCGACAATACTACTCCCGACGAACCCCAGGTTGTGAGCTCTCGTGTTGCTCCCGAGGCAGAGGTCACTTTCGTGACAGAAATTTCAGCTCCCCTTCCAGAAGGTGATGACATGGCCGTGCCGACGATTGTGAAGCCCGACGACGAGTGGGCTGAGACGCCGTCCTCCAAGAAGAAGGCCAAGAAGGGCAAGAAGAAGGCGGCTGCTGCTTCTTCCGCCTGGGATGATGAGCCCGAAACTGCCCAGCAACAACCAGAAGAAGTCAAGAGCATCGATGACTTCTCAGTGTCAACAACACCTTCACAAGATGAGCCTGTCTCGTTATCACAACCCGCAGAGCCTGAGGGCCCGGCACTCGACGACCCTGTCACTGCTCCCACCCCAGCAGCTGATGATGATGAGTGGGCTCTGCCAGCGTCCGGGAAGAAGGGCAAAAAGAACAAGAAGAAGAAGGGATCCGCCATAACCTCGGACGAGCCGGTGCCTGAGCCGGAGACACCAACACCAACGACTGAAGAACCGCTTGCGCTCGACCAATCCTCACCACAGGTCGAGCCTCAACCCCCCACAGCGCCGGAACTCGCCGAGCCTCTCGAGAAAGTCGAACCTGCCCTCGCGGCTGAGGTTGCCGAGGATGAGTGGGCGGCACCGACCTCTGGGAAGAAGGCGAAGAAGTCCAAGAAGAAGAAGGCACTCGCCGTGGAGGAGCCTGAGCCCGAGGCTGCAATTGAGCCAGAGCTCGCTCCCCAACCCGAAGCTGAGCGCTCAGTCGAGGACACGCAAACCCCAGATCCTCAATTGGAAACTTCTCCAGACCAGATCGAACGTGCACCTGTGCCAGAGGCTGCTGACGACGAATGGGCGTCACAGCCTGTCGGGAAGAAGGGCAAGAAGAACAAGAAGAAGAAGGAATCCGCATCTGCCTCTGACGAACCTACCACTGAGCCTGCTGCTAGTGAAGTGGTTGACGACGTCCTCGCCAGCGATTCGGCCGCGCCTGAAAAGACCGTCGACGAGCCTGCCGTAGAGAGCCCGTCGCCTGCGGCCGAAGCTATCCCCACATCGACTGGGCCAGCCTCTTCTGAGCCAGTAGAGGCTGCCGAGGATGAGTGGAGCTCACAGCCTGCCGGTAAGAAGAGTAAAAAGGACAAGAAGAAGAAGAAGCAGTCGGGCCTCCAACCTGACGATCCGGCGCCAGAGGCTGCTGCCGAGGCGCTCGAGGCCGCTCCAGCCGATCCTCCCGTTGAGACCAAGCCAGTTCAGATTGAAATTTCCACCGAGGCCGAGCCGGCGATCTCGCAGGATGCCGAAGTCGCGCCGTCTGTTGATGACTCTGCCTTTGAGACTTCGGGATCTAAGAAGTCGAAGAAGAACAAGAAGAAGCAGAGTCTTCTCGCGGCCACGCTGGACGAAACCCCCGCAGTTCCCGAGTCACAACCCGAGTCCCCCACTGCCACTCCCACTGAAACTGCGCAGCAGCCGACACAGACTGATGATGGCTGGGGCTTCGAAGTTCCCACAAAAAAGAGCAAGAAGGGCAAAAAGAAGCAAGCTGCAGCTCTCGATGATCTCGACAGCACTCCGCAGGAGGATGTCAAGGTTGCTGACGCCGAACCCCCGATGCTTGATGATGTCACTACCCCTGGTCCAGCTTCTGACGAGATCCCCTTGGATGAATCAACAACTCCTCTAGATACCCTCTCACGGGACCTGGACACAAGCGCCCCTTTGACGACCTCTTCAAACGAAACCATTGATGGGGTCACCGCGCCAGTTCCAGAAGAGGAGTTCCCAACGACCACGAAGAAGTCCAAGAAGGACAAGAAAAAGAAGAAGGGTCTCGTTGACGAATCTGTACCAGAGCCATCGCCTGTGCTGGACGAGCCGACTGTCATGGATAAAGCTGTGCCAACTCTCACGCCTCCGGAGGATGACTCCTCTTCCGCGAGCATCAGCAAGAAGGACAAGAAGAAGAAGAAGGGTCTTCTGGCTGCTGCTGCTCTTGCGGCTGCGGCCGCCTCTGGTGTTGAAGCCTCCTCGCCTTCCAACGACGAGGAAAGCTCCCGCCAAGCGCCCGCTGAGGTACTCGACAACTCCCAAGCGACGACAGATGTGCCACCAGCGCTCGAAGAGGTTTCCACCCCAGTTTCCGATGAGGCCCAGCCGACGGATGGTCTCCCCGAATCCTTGGACCAGACCGCTGTTGCCGATTACGAGTTCCCTGTCGTCAGCAAAAAGTCTAAGAAGGACAAGAAAATGAAAGGCAAGTCCGAGCCAGAGCCCGCGCTCGAACCGGAGGTCCAGGCCGAACCCGAGTCCACTCAGCCTGCCACACTGAGCTGGGCGGATGACATCCCTGCTGAGCCTCCACAAGAGCCTGAAGCTCAGCCAGAGCCTTCTGCGGTTGAGCCAGAGGAGGAGCCTGCTCCTGTTGTTGGCAAGAAGTCCAAGAAGGACAAGAAGAAGAAGGGCAAAGGCAACGCCGGCTCGGAGCCTGCATCCGAGGTTGCGACGCCTGTCGAAGACCTCTCACGATCTTTGGAGCTACCACCTGTTACCGAAGACCCGGCTGCTGTTGAGGCATCGCCGGTTGTGGTAGCTGACGCGGCGCCTGCTGATGAGTGGGCGGAGGATACGTCCACGAAGAAGAAGTCCAAGAAAGACAAGAAGAAAAAGAAGGGCCTTCTTTCGGATGACCTCGAAACCCCATCTGAGTCTCCAGATCCACTCGCCGCATCAACAGAAACCGTCACCGAGCCTGCCGTTGATCTTCCCGCCGCAGCGGATGATCTTGCCACTTCGAAGCCTGCTATGATCGAGACATTCGCTACAGAAACGCCGGTTGCCGAGGCGCCTGTAGTTGATGATTGGGAAGAGCAAGTTTCCGTGTCTAAAAAGTCAAAGAAGAAGTCAAAGAAGAACAAGGCTTTGCTTCAGGACGATTCAGCTCTGGAATCTGGTGCTGCGACGCCCATTGAAGAAGTCAGCCAGGATACCAAGGCTCTCGACTTGGCTGCTACCGACGACATTCCGCCCGAACCCACCCCCGTCGAGATTCAAGAAGAACAGACCCTCACCCCCGACAATTCCGCCCCCGCCCCCGAAGAGCCCGCCGTAGATGATGAGTGGGGCGCAGCGCCGACGAAGAAGTCGAAGAAGGACAAGAAGAAGAAGCGAGCGAGCCAGATCGAGCCAGAAACCCCCCTCAGCGCCGATCGAGTGGAAGACCAGGAGTTGCAGCAAAGTCCTCAGGTACGGGATAGTAGCCAGGAATCACCTCTCGAGACGGCAGGCGCGAGCCCGCCTGTTGAGGAGGTGTTGCCTGTGCCTGATGTCGTCGCCGAGACGAGCGTTTCTCCCGTTGAGGATGCCGTTGTCGAGACTGCTGCTGCTCCCGAGGCTGCGGACGAATGGGCCGGATTTTCGACCTCCAAGAAGGGCAAGAAGAAGAACAAGAAGGGCAAGGGTGTCATTGAGCCTGAGCCTGAGCCTGAGCCTGAGCCTGAGCTTGAGGTCATTGCCGAGCCCGCTTCCGAGCCTGTTGTCGCGCCAACTTCTGAGCCACTCGTTGAGACCGTTCCCCAAGTTGCCGATCTTGCCGATTATGCGGTTCCCCCTGTGGAGGATGTCATGCCTGTGGATCCTGCTGCCGAAGTTGTCGTGGAGCCTGTCGATGAGTGGGCTGAGCCGGCAACGTCGAAGAAGAGCAAGAAGAACAAAAAGAAGGGGAAGGCTGTTACTGAGCCCGAACCCGAACTTACTCCGGAGACGATTGCCGAGCCCGTCCACGAGCCCGTTCTTGAGCCTACCATCGATCCTGCCATCGAGCCCACCGACCTTGTAATTTCTGATGTCCTGCCTACTCAGGACGCTGCGCCTGTGGCTTCCGAACAACCGGCCATTGATCCAGTTGACGAGTGGGCGGAGCCCGCGACGACAAAGAAGAGCAAGAAGAATAAGAAGAAGGGCAAGGGCGCCGTTGAGGTCGAGCCTGAGCCTGAACCTGTTCTTCAGTCTGCCGCCGAGCTCGCACCTGAGCCTGTCGCCGAGCTCGCAACTGGGCCTGTCACCGAATCTGTGTCTGTGCCGGTGGGCACCATGGCTACAGATGCACCTGCTGCTACCGAAGAACCAGTCGCTGAGACTTTTGATGAATGGGCCGAAGCCACCACGTCGAAGAAGGGCAAAAAGAACAAGAAGGCCAAGGGTGTTGCTGAGCCCGAGCCCAAGCTTGAGCCTGAGGCCCTCTCTGAGCCTACCCCTGAACCCGCCACCGAGTCTCCTGCTGAGCCAGTCGATCTTGTGACCGCCGATGTGCCTGTTCCTTCCGAGGAGCCCATGACTGAGCCTGCTGATGAATGGGCTGAGCTTACGACATCAAAGAAGGGCAAGAAGAACAAGAAGAAGGGCAAAGGCTTAAACGTTGAGTCCCCTCTTGAGCCCGCTGTCCAATCTGTGACCGAAGCCGCCGTGGACCCTGTTACCGCGCCTGTCGTAGAGCCGGAAGCCGTGTCCGAGCCTGCTCCTGAGGTGCAAACGGCTGTTCAGACTGAGCTTGTTGCTCCTCTGGATGACGGCTCCCGCAACCTCGATACACCGCCAGCCGAACCGGGCTCACCAGCCGAGGATCAGTCGTCTGCTGCCGTTGACGACTGGGCTGATTTCTCTTCTTCCAAGAAAAGCAAGAAGAATAAGAAAAAGACTAAGGCCACGGATGAGCCCGCACCTGCTATTGCGGAGGAGCTGCCCAGAGCGCAAGATGAAATTCGGGAAACCTTTATGGATGCCGCTGCCGACCCGATCGTGGCGGCCGAGCCAACCCTTCTTCCCGAACAAGAACCTGTTGCTGATGAGTTCGCCGATCTTGGTTCGAAAAAGAGCAAGAAGAACAAGAAAAAGGCCAAGGGCATTGTCTCAGTAGAGCCCGAGACAGCGGCAAAGCTCCAATCGGAGCCCGCTCAGGACGTTGTCGATTCGACTGCTATCGAACCATCTTCTACCCTTTCAGATCCACCTACTGTACTTGAGGAGATTCCCGTCATTGAGTCGAGCACGCTTCTCGACCAAGATGCGATCGCTGCCGCGGATGAGTGGGCTGACTTTGGCGTCAAGAAGAACAAGAAGGGCAAGAAGAGCAAGGGTGTCACTTTTGACGATACCGAGCTCCCCCCTACGACCGACGTCACTGAGCCCTCTCGCAACACTGACTCCTCCGAGCCTGGTCTTCCAGAGGACGACGACTTGGCCGAAGCGACAGCCATTCCTGAAGCCGAAGTTGAGCCCGTCATTGAGGCTGAGGTGTCCGCGACTGCGATTGGTGAGTGGGCTGATTCCGGCTCCAAGAAGAGCAAGAAGAAGAAGAAGGGCAAGTCTGTTGCTTTCGACGAACCGGAGACCACTGTTGAAACCGCTGCCGAGCCTGTCGCCACCCAGGATGAGCTTGTCCTTCCTTCGGACCCTGCTCCTATCGAAACCCTAACCCTGCCGCAAGAGGTCGAAACATCTACCGAACAAGCATCTTCCGCACCTGTCGACGAATGGAACGACTTTGGCAGCACCAAAAAGAGCAAGAAAAAGAAGAAGGGCAAGGGCAGTGTTCTTGACGAGCTCGAGCCTGCCACCAGTGCTCCTCTGGAAGCACCCTCGGAAGCTGCCATTGTCACCCAAGTCGTTTCTGATTCCGTTGATCCGACTGTCGCCGGAGACGTCACTGCCGAGCCTTTTGCTGATACTCCTGCCGACACGGAGGCTTCGACGCCCGTGGATGACTGGGCTAGTGGCTTCAGCACTAAGAAAAGTAAGAAGGGCAAGAAGAAGACCAAGGGTTCTGCTTTCGATGAACCCGAGCCGCTTGTCGAACCTGCTGCCGAGGAAACCCCCGACGTCATCGTCGAGGCTCCGGTTGAGGTTGGCTCTGTTCCAGCTGCCGAGCCGGAGGTTGCCAACCCCGTTGATGAATGGGCTGAGAGCAGCAACAAGAAAAGCAAGAAGGACAAGAAGAAGAAGCGTCAAAGCACAGCTTGGGACGATACTGAACCAAGCATACCCGCTTCGACTGAGAGCCCTGCTCCTGATGAAGAGCCAGTCATTGTTGATGCTCCTCGCAACCTTTCCATTGAGGCGGACCAAATCACGGCATCCAATGATTTGCTTGCTGCTCAACCCCAGGAGGTACAGGAGCCTGTCCCTGCTTCCAGCGAATCTAGTGTCGAAGAAATTGCCGACAGGACCATCGAGGAGGTTGTGCCTTCACAAGAAACCCCGCAGCCTGTCGAAGAGCCTGCAGAAGACCCCGTAAACTTCTCCTCTGTCAAGAAGTCCAAAAAGGACAAGAAGAAGAAGCGTGATAGTCTCGCTCAGTTTGACGAAGAGCCGCAGCCCGTCCAAGGAGACGCCGTGCCCGCGCTTCAAGAAGAGCCTGTCTTTGATACGGCAATCGGCGAGGACCCAGCCGTCGTGCCCGAAGTTGTTGAAGAACCCTTCGCCGACTCGTTCTCCACTAAAAAGTCAAAGAAGGAGAAGAAGAAGGCCAAGAGGCAGTCTGTTCTGGTGGATTCCGAGCCGGCCACCCCCGCTGAAAGCCCTATTGTTATCGAAGAGGCACCAACGACCTATGCTGAGACCCCTATCGTGGAGGAGCAGCAGGCTGACATCGCGGAAACGCCCGCTGCTGCTGAGGCTGAGCCTTCCATTGTTGCTGAAGATGTCAAGCCCATCGACCTCGAACTACCTGCAGTCGTCCCGGGGGCTGTCGAAGACAAACCAACCGATCAGCCCCTCGACCCGGTCCAGACTGCTGACGATGCTGATTGGGGTACCTTTGCCGTCCCCAGCAAGAAGTCGAAGAAGGGCAAGAAAGGAAAGGCCTCCGCCGACACGTCCGAGCCTGTGTCACGAGCATTGTCACCTTCTCGTGAACTGGACTCTGCCGTCACTTCTGCTGCGATCGAAGGGCCTGAAGCTGTACCCGAAGCTGTGCCAGAGATCGGTGAGCCTGCATTTGAAGAACCTGCACCACAGCCCGAGCCTGTGGTTGATGACGAGTGGGCCTTGCCTCCGAAGAAAAAGAAGGGCAAGAAGGGAAAAGCAGCCGCCGTCGTGGATGCGGATAATCAAGAAACCAGCCTTCTAGTCAAGTCCCCTCCTCCTCTCGAGGAAGTACCATCCACTACATCCGAAGTTGTCGACATCACTGAAGCGACCAAGCAGGCACCTGCACCAGTTGAACCAGTTCTTGCCGAGCCATCGGGCGAACCTGAGCCCGTGGCTGAAGATGAGTGGGCTCTGCCTTCATCCAAGAAGAAGAAGAAGGGCAAGAAGGGTAAAGCTGCCGAGACGGACGTTTCTGAGCCTGCCGATGTCACTGCAGTCGATGTGGCTACAGTTGCAACTCCGACTGCAACTACGGAACCTGTTGTGGTTGAGCCTATCGAGCCTAGTCGCGACAGCCCGGCACCTGTTGAAGTCATTCCTGCCGAGCCATCGGGCGAGCCGGAGCCCATGGTCGAAGATGAATGGGCTGCCCCTTCATCCAAGAAAAAGAAGAAGGGTAAGAAGGGCAAGATGGCTGCATTTGAGGACCCGGAGCCTCCTTCTCGTGCTCTGTCTCCCGTTCAGGACACTGCTGTTCCGCCAATGCTTGAGGTTGAGCAAATTGAAGCCGCCACCGATGCAATTGTTGACTCGCCCGCGGTGGTGCCCGAGCCTGTCGTCGAGGATGAGTGGGCGCCGACGCCGAAGAAGAAGAAGGGCAAGAAAAACAAAGGCGCTGCCAGCTTTGACAGTCCCGAGCCCACTTCCCGCGCCATGTCGCCTGTGCAAGACATCAACCTGCCAGCTTCATTCGAGACCGGCATCCCTGTTGATACCCCGGTGGCCGAACCTGAGCCTATTGCCGACACCCCGATGGCTGATGTTGAGCCTATCGTTGAAGATGAATGGACGCCGCCGACATCCAAGAAGAAGAAGGGGAAGAAGGGAAAGGCTGCGGCCGTTTTCGACCTTTCGGAGCCTGTGTCTTGCGCCGTGTCCCCTACGCATGTTGCGGATCCCGACACTTTCAAGGATGCCGATGCTCAGGACGTGGAAACGAGCGCTCCGTTCGAGGCTCGTGCACCCATCGACGAGACTCCCGCACAGGTTGAACCAGTTCCCACGGAGGACGAATGGGCGCTTCCCGCAACGACCAAAAAGGGCAAGAAGGGCAAGAAGAACAAAGCTGCTGCCATTCTTGCTGAGGCTGAACCTCAGCCAGAGCCCATGTCGGCTGCCCCTGCAGACAACATGCAAGTTGACGATGCCATGGCCGAGCCCACGCCCTTTGAGTCAGCTCCTGATCAGTCCGAGCCCGCTGACGACACTTGGGACGCTACGCCCTCCAAGAAGTCGAAGAAGGACAAGAAGCGCGGCAAGGGCTTGTCAGCGTCCCGTGAGCTGTCGCCTGCCCGCGAGGCGGCCGTTCCCGAACGTACCGAGGAGCCTGTCTCTTCGCCGCCAGTCACACCCAAGGCAGAAGACATATGGGATGCTCCCACTTCTTCGAAGAAGGGCAAGAAAGGCAAGAAGGCCAACAAGCGCATGCCGGCTGGCTTTGAGGACCCGTCCACCAGTGGCAGCCAGACACCCACTGAAGCACCTCGACAGAGTCCATCGTCGTCGTCCTACTGGGGCGAGCTTGGTGCGGCTGCGGTTGCCGGCGCCGCTGCCACTGCCACTGCCACTGCCGCTGTGGCCGCCCTCACTGGCAAAGAAGAAGGCGAGTCACGCGACGTCGAGCCGGTCAAAAGCTCTCGCGATGTCGGCGATTCGTACTTTGAGGGCGGTCTGGATGCAGGCCCGGAGCCGGTCGAGGCGGCAGCTAACGACGACGACGACGACGACGGCTTTGGTTTCACTTCAGGAATCACTGGCGAAGAGCAGTCGGGCTACTGGAACAACCAGGCAGCAGAGGAGATGTTCGATGTCTGGGAGGAGGCCCAGCCGGAGGCCACTCCCGCCAAGAGCCAAGTGGCATCGTCTCCGGATGCTGCCAGGGAGGAGACGCTCGGGACGACCATGAGCGAGATCGCCTCTCCTACTGCCAGCAAGGTCGGTACGCCCAAGTCTACTGTTGGCAAGAAGAAGAAGGGCAAGAGCAAGAAGTCCAAGTACGAAGACAAGAAGCCGGGTGGTGGTGATGATGACCCCTTTGACGACCCCATTCTATGGGAGGGAGCGGACAAGAAGCATGTGAGTGAGATTGCCAGCTTTGAGGTTGAGAAGTTTTGGGGCAGCGGCCCAGAGGCGTCGAAGGATGTGCCTGCCGCGGGGGTAGACGAGAAGACAGCGGAGGACGGTGAGCGTTCACTGGAGACGGATGACAAGCCGGTGGTGCAGGAAGCTGTACACGCGGCCATGGTGGAGGATCCTATGGAGGGCGTAGCGATTGCCCCGGTACCAGATATGAAGCAGAGTGAGCCGGTCAGCATATCATCACGGGCACTGCAACTCAAGGAGGCGGACGACAATGACTACAATGCTGAGAGCCCTGTGCTCGGCCGCGGTCCCTCACACGACGAGGCACTCGCCATGGCGAGATCGGTGGCCAAGGACGAACCCCAGCCTTGGGCATCGGAATCGGTTCGACAGAGCGTCGAGACAGACATTGACGAGGCTGTCGACCGGGGGTTTGAGGCGGAGCAGCGCAGAGACTTTTTGGAGGCCACGCCAACAGACACTTACATGCCGGCTTTCGAGCCGACGACGGACTTCCGACGGTCGGTCTCGCGAGGCCTGCCGCCCGTGCAAGAAGAGACGTACGATGAGGAGGAGACGGGCGAAGAGGGCGGGCGCGGGCGACAGAGCTTCACGGCAGCGACACCAGCAACGCCCGAGGTCAACCGAGACAGCGGCTTCATGAGCGACTCTTCGCACCGGCGCTCTTTACGCAAGAGCAAGGTCGTCGTCGAGCAAGACAACCGAGACAGCGGCGTGCATCTACGAGAGGATGAAGACGGTTCACGCGATGTGGCACGCAGCCCCGAGCCCGGCTGGTCGACGCCCAAGAACCGTAGCATCACGGTCCCGGAGGAGAGCTCGTCCAGGAGCCTCCGACGGTCGCCGCTGTCCAAGGGCGAGCTGCGCGAGCGGAACCATCCCATGACCAAGACACCGGTGCTGCGCGAGCCCAGCCCACGCGAGGTCACGCCCGAGCCTTACAAGACGAGGCGTCACAAGTCACCAGAGCGTGGCATCGGCGGCGGCGACGACAAGAGGTCCAGATACCGCGACCTGAGCGCAGGCACGTCGGACGCAGGCGCAACTCTCTCGCGCGCGTCGGCCTTGACGCCGACAGGCACAGCAGTAGGTACAGCAGTAAGCCGACGAAGCGTCTCTGATCATGTGACGCGCATTCAATCACCGACGCTGGGACCGCTGGGACCGGAGAGCAGCATGGTCAGCAGCTCTGTGGGTGGAGGGGCTCTGGCACGACGATCAGCGTCCAACACCAGCCTCTCGCTTTCCGCGTCGCGTCACAGAACGCACACGCCCGAGCCGCTCAGGTTCCGGCCCGACAGTCCAGGCTCTGTCGTCTCTGCCTCTGCTTCTGCTTCTGCCTCAGGCATCTTCCACAGCCGTCAGGCATCGGCCACACCGCCCTTGAGGCGGGTGGACAAGCGTGTGAGTGGAGACCTCCGATCTCTTCGCCAACGCAGCGAGCTCGAGCTCGACCTGGCTGCAGCATCTCCCGGCGGTAGCGCCAGTGGGAGCCCGAGGAGCTCTGGCACAAGCACAAGCCCCGCTGCAGGTGGTACAGGTGGTGCTGGCGGTGCTGGTGGTGCTGGTGGTGCTGGTGGTGCTGGTGGTGCTGGCGCAGCTGTGCTCGCCGTCGCTGGTGTGGCCGCTGTTGCTGCTGCTGCTACTGCTGCTGGCGCTGTCTCGAGCTCTTCTTCCTCTCAGCCCAACAACAACATCAACAACTCCACCGTCAAACCCAAACCTGACCACGACAAGACCAAGTCCAACAACACCCCTGTGGCCAACGAGGGCCGTGTCCGTTCCAAGGACATGCCTGACGTCTATGTAAGTTTGAACCTCTCTCTCTCTCTCTCTCTCTCTCTCTCTCTCTCTCTCTCTCTCTCTCTCTCTCTCTCTCTCTCTTGGTTTCTTTGTTCCCTCCTCCCACATTCCACTCCTCCCGCATTCCCGCCCCCCCAGGGGCCAGAACCTAAAGTGAGCTTTGTCTTCTTCTTCCCCCCACACAGGATGGCTTCCGGGGGGGGGCGGTCTCGGCTCAGCTAGGAGACGCACGGGGACCTCACTCGATGCGACGTCGCCAGAGCATGGGAGTTCTGCGAACTCGA